ATCAACGAATTGACTACGAGCATCAATAGCCATTGAACCAGCAACACAAGCGAAGAAGATAAGAGCAATAGCAGCTTTCATTGTTGAATATTTTTTTTTGTAATTACGATGAGAAGATGAGAATGATGGGTGAAGTTACAATGAAAATCGAAGCGCTTTTTATACTCGAATTTTTTTTCGTAAACGCCTACATATGAAGGATATGATTATCTTCTGTATTCATATGTAATCAGAGAAAAGCAACTACATATGTTTTATTTTCTCATTGAAAGAAAAAATTAATATTTTCAAGGTTGCAGTCACCGACAAGATAAGCCATCACGAATTCGAGAACATATTCGACGACATACACAAGAAAAAACAATAGCTTGTCCACGTTGTGGTTCATTATTTTCATGTGGTGTTAAATTCATTGAACATTGCCAATTATCAATTGAAGGTACTATTTATTTTTTGAATTTTTTTTATTAAAATTTTTGTTTTAGTTTCACCAAATTTTCAATGTGAAAAGTGTGCGCAACAATTTCAATCAAAATCTCTTCTTCAAAAACATCTAAATAAACATGGTTAATATTGATTTTATTTGAAAATGATAAAATCATACATAAAAATTGTTTTTTTTTTCGTGTAGCAACAAAACATGCATGTCCATATTGTACACAAATATTTTCAACACCATCAGGTGTAAAACGACATATTATTTATCGACATACAGATATAAAATATTTTCAATGTCCTGATTGTTCACTTTCGTAATTATTTTATTTTAATTTTTGAAGACAATTTGTTTTTGTTTTGTGTATAGTTTTAAATGTGCAAATAGTCTTACAGTACATCGTCGTCGTTTGCATCTATTACCATTACTAGATAAAATCAATGATGATGATAAAGAACAACCTACTGATTCGAATGATAAACAACAAGTAAATTATGTCTTTTTTTTTCCCGTAATGAAAAGTAGCATTAATAAAATACTTTTAGCTTCAATATAAATATGCTTGTCATTTATGTGAACGATGTTTTTCACGTGGAAAAAAATTGACTGCACATTTACTTAAAGTACATCAACTTGGAAAAGCTATGGGATGTACGAGATTAAGGTTAGCATTAGTTTTTTTTTTCTTGTGTTATGAAAATGTTTACTTATAGAAACTAATTAGTCATATTCTTATTGATTAAAGTGCTACACTTGCAAAATCTGCTTGTGTGCGTCCGCATACGCACGAGAGGATATGTTAGGAAAATTATTATTTACGTGAAAACACTTTTCTTATGCAGAAAATTAACTAATAAATTGATTTTTCAATAGAGAACAATTCGACTGCTTGTTTTATTTAATTTCTTTCATTATTTCATTTATAAATCTTCATCTCGTATTTGAGATGAGATCCCGGGTCATTGCGTTGGGCTTGTTGAGATTAGAATAAACCTAAAGAGATTCTTTCCCATGAACTATCTTTTGGAAGTTATGGACATTATACAAGATCTCTTCTAGTCTCAACAGACCCTACTTAATGACTGGAGTTTCATCGCAAAGACGAGATTTAAATTGAAAACTTTTGAGCCGTAGTTCTTTTATGATATATTGTTTCTGAAATGACCGAGTACCAAAATAGAAGACCTTCTCTTCGTTGGAGGAAATTTCAGCGGCAGATTTGGTGCTTTTGAATAAATGTCTTCAACTATATCTAATATTGTTAGTAATAAAGTGTTTAACTCCTTCGGGAAGGAGGACGCATATCGGTGTTTTCCGTTCTGGAACAGTTTTGATCAGTTGATATGTACGACTTATGATTGATTTAACTAACGTAACTACGATTTGATACAACCGACATGCATATACATCGGACGATTCTTTGAAAGATTATTAGCACCGATTAGAAATGAAAATTCATTCACTTTAACTAATTCCGTGTTTTCTTATTTTTCTTAGCCAAATTAATATTAAAGATAAATTTTATTGAATATTGTTTTTTTCTTCTCACCTTAAATGTCTTTCAGTTATACAATGCGAAAAGATGGTTTTTTTCGTGTACAAAGTGAACTTATTCCTGTATCATTATCATCTGAATTTTCTCTACCACAACAACAACAACAACAACAAAGTTTACCATCGACATCTCAACATCTTCCACAAACGACATGCGCATCATTTCTAATCAATCGTTTATTAAATGATCGTGAAGATGGAAATCAACATCCACCATTTAGTCCCGAATTTGAACTTGATCATTGGAATGATAATGAAACTGAAAATACTGATCGTGATGATGATGATGACGATGATGATGATGATGATGATAATGATAATGATGATGATGATATTACAGATTATGTTGATTTATGCTCAAAAAGAGCAATATACACATCAGATATTTTATAAACATTATGTATATAATTCAATCGTTCTTTTTTTCTGTTAGTTGAAAAATAAAGACGATAAATAGAGTCAATTATATTTTGTTGGATAATCTTCAGCTTGAAACTAGTATTAGACAAGAAAACTAATGATCATTGTCGAGCAAATTTTGTGAATGAATTCTGATATTTTTAAGAAGCAGAAATTTTTAACGTGGCGTTATGATTAGAGATTTTTTTAGGGCCAACAAATTTTTGGTTCTGTTTCCAGTCTAGAGAAAATGATTTCAAAATTTATTCGTATCATATCTCAACAATTCTTCAATACGTGTTGTTATATTGGTCTAGTCGACGACTAGTATTATTTTTTTTTTGGGCCATCTCTCTTAAATTATATTCTAATTTATAAGATAATATCGCTTAAAACCATAGAACATTTTACTATAGTTTGGCAATTTTTCTTTTCCGTAGGCTCAATTCTGAGAAATCTTCAAATTTTGGTTTCATCACATGTCTTGTGATGATGTAAATCGTTTGACAATTTGAAATAAAATAAATATCGGTATATTTAATCCTATAAGGATTTGTCTCAAAGCGCTGTTCTTCCTAAGTTATTATAGTTTTACTGAACTTTTTATCTCCTAGCAAGGTAATTGTGAAAAATCGAAGTACAGAATTTCAACCCAAAAAGAATATGTTGTGTTTGAGATATCGAATGCTGAAAACACTGGGCTTTCTTTGGAATACATGATTATTTTTGCATATTCAATATATCAAGAAGAACAGCTTATTTTGGGTTGAAATTTTCTAGTCATTCTAACATTCATGAGAGCTACGTAAGGGTTTAATTTCAGATCGTAACACTTCGAACTTTGATTTTTTCACAAATATCTTCCTAAAGATGCAAAATTAAATAAAAATATAATAACTTGGAAAGGACAGTTCATGAAAACGAACTCTTATAAGCTCCGACTAATCTTGTTGAAGTCTACTCATGAGAAATATATTAGTTCGATTGAACAGTCACACATAAGAATCTTCCGCCGTAAGACGACGCAAAAGATTATTTAAAGGAGACTTCATGTTTTTGATTAAACTACATTTTGTTTGACGACATTCATGCTGGTTTACAATTTATTTTCATTACATAATTGTTTTTCTTCTTATGTAGCTTTGTTGTTGGTTTTTTAATCTAATCATGATTAGCATTCATAAAATGATAGATACGAAAGGAAAACATATTTATTCATAGGAATTTTTTTTCTACATCACTACACCAAAAAGATTTCATTTTAAAAGAATCTTACATTTGTTAGACATTTTCAAGATCAATTTCTAAGATAATTATTTGGTTTTGCATCAATCATAATACTTTTTGTTTCTGTTCTTATAGGCATATTATATATATATCAGAGTTTAACATGAGTTGGATCAATTTAATCGTGTGAACAATTCTAATTTAAAAGAAAAAGACATTTTAAAACTTTTGTTAAAGAACTTGAAAAAAACTTCTTAAAACAGTGTTACAAGTTTACTTTCTGTTACATAGTGATAGAAAGATCTAGACTACATCTAAGGAACGAGACAAATACATAAATAAAAAGTGCTATCATTTATTATAAATGTTCCGAGAACAAAGCAGTATTTCTACATACTACCTTGTTTTTTTTTTATTATTTTTGAGGAAAATTTATTTTTAGTTTCAAGATTATTAAAAGTTATTGAATTACATTCAAATTGAAAATTCATATAATTTTAAACTAATTAAATAATCAAGAATTCAATTCAATAAATGCAAATACATACGTTTCATGTGATTCTCTTAGGATAATTTAATAAAACAATCGATAGAATAGTTTTTACACTATCTTTCTCTTATAATATTTTGTCATTTTTTAGTTGTTTTTGTGTCATAGTTATACTCAAGAATTATTCCAATTTGTTGAAGACATCATCGACAAGCACGATGTATTATTATTATTATTGTTAACTGAACACATGCGGCTTGTTTTATATTTTTAACGAAATTTGAAGATAATGTTTCATGAATTACCTTCATATGTTACAGATTTTATTCTAGATAGATTAGTCAACAGCTAAAAAACTCTCTTATTATATATAAAAACTATTTTAGAACAAATAAAGCAAATGTGCGTAATGAAAAGTAAATAAAAATAATTTAAAAACATTTTCTTTATAGGTCAAGTTTGCCTACAACGAATGTCTCGACACTTTTTACGAGTGTTCGATGATTTGGAAAAAAATGTCATTTACCAAATGTTAAATCATCAGAAAATATTATGAAAAATAAAAAACTTTTCTAAGATAAGTACGTATGACTTCCAATAAATTTCTCATTTTCAAAATACTCCAATAATCTCGACAAGCCATTCGTATGAGTAAAACTCAAGTAAGTTATGCAGTTTAAATATTGTTGCATTATTCACTAGGATTTATGATATGAGAACTACATGAATTCCTTAATGCATTGAAAAGAAATAAAATCAAGATTTAGATTGATTTACAATAGTTATGTAATAAATTTTTATGGCAGAATTTTAAACTTTGAATATTTATGAAACTGAATTAGTTATTGTTATCTTGAATGTCTTTGAAAAGTTAGGTCGATCTCAACTTCAGAAAGATGATGGTAAGCTGTTATTTAGAAAACTTTAATGCTGCAAACATCCATAAAATCAAAATAAATAAAATTTCTAACTATGTCCATACTTTGAATATTTTTGAGTACCAATAATATTGTGGGTGTACGAACTTTAACTATTTGTTCAAGTTTTATCAGATATTTTTTTTTCAATAGTCAGCATTCTATGTAGTTGTTTTCTTGCATGTTTATATATGAATTATGAAAAAAAAAAAGTTGAATTTTATATATCCACAGTATCTAAGTCGTAGTTAGAACTTCTATTGATGTTGTTTGTGCGAATATGGTCAGTATTGAAGTTTTCTATGCTGAGAACGAAACTAATATCTGTTCGTTATTTTTCTCAAGTTGTAATAGATCAGACTCTTCAAAAATATTCAATAGGAAAGAATACTTTATGCCATCGTGATCAGCTTATTGATTGTCTATAAATTGGCATAAAGTTAATAGAAAACGAAGACTGATACTTGGCAATGTTCTCTCGTGAATTGATAAGAATTAAGCTTCAATTATGCTAATAGAATAAAATGTAAAATAGCGTATTTTACTGAGTATCTAGGGAGTTATACAAGAAACTATTATTTTGAATTTGATTTACTATTGAATATGCGAGTTTTATTCAGCATTTCAAAAAAAAAAATGAAAATAAAATATTCTCTAATCGAACTTATTTAAAAAAATTATTACATAATAATTACACATTTCTGTTGACATTGATACTAAAGCCGAGTAATGCGTACTTATGTGTTCACTAGAACAACATAGATTTTGGCTTCTGTTTTAAGTTATTTATGTTAATATTTTTGTTTGAAGATAAAAAAAAGGATCTCAGAATCATTGCCATCCCACCCTTCATGTTTACCATATATAGTATAGAGGGAAAGATTTTTATTTTAATAAACAAAGTAAATAAAAACATCGATCTTTTTATTTATCTCAGAACTAAGTAAGCACTTTATTTGCTCGTTTGACATTTAGATATAAAAATTTCAATCGTTTTATTAAAAAGAATACAACAAAAATTATTTTTTATTGTTTTTTTTTCTATTTGAAATATTTTGTTGATCAATAAAGAATAACAAATATATGAATGAATAAACATTTAGCTTTTCTTCTTTTTGACAAAGTCAAAGAAAGATGATAAAATAAGTATCCGGTTGTAAATATGGAAATTTATGAATGCAGCAGCAAGAACAAATATACGATGTTCTTGCAAATTTTGTTTACTTACTGGACGTATGCGTTTAATGATCTGTCTGCCTATCCCTCTCTCTCTCTCTTAATATACTAATAATTATGCATAACTTTTCTACAAACATGCTATGTTAGATTTATATCTTTGGGCAAGTAACATTTTAAAAATTCTTTGCTTTTTCCTATGTGCGTCAACAGTGATAATAGGAGGTTTTATTGACGTTCATCAAAATCCATCATTCATAGACCAAAAAAACAAAATAATCATAATTGATTTAGATTAAGGGAGACCAAAAAAAAGAAAGCACCGTGCACGATCCGATCACTTAACGACTACCGGTGATTGAACCATGAAGGTTGTTGATGGTTT